GTTAAATACAGAATTTCAAGCAAATTTAATGAGTGCATTATCAGCAGGGTGTCTAATGTCTGATTTGCCACAAAACTACAGTGAGGCAATCCAAGATGATGATTGGAAATGTGCAATCAAAGAAGAATTGCATGCGTTAAAAGAAAGTGAAACCTGGGAACTGGTTAAACCTCCAGAAAATGTAGACATAATTGATAGTAAGTGGGTGTTTCGTGAAAAGGTGCTTAATGGAAAAACTGTTAAAAAGGCTAGACTTGTTGCTCGTGGATTTCAACAGAGATCACTGGATGAAGATGTATATGCTCCTGTTGCACGTATGGTTACAATCAGAGTACTTCTGTGTTTATATTTGGAGTACGACATGCATGTATTACAACTAGACATAAGCTCAGCTTTTCTTTATGGTAAGCTTGACAAGCCTGTGTACATGTATCAACCTGATGGATTGAATAAGAATTCAGGTTTAGTGTGTAAACTTATTAAATCTTTGTATGGTTTAAAGCAGGCCCCAAAATGTTGGAACTCTTTATTTCACGAAAAAATTATTGATTTGGGTTTAAGGAGATCCCAAAAAGATCCATGTTTATACTTTAATAATGAAACTTTTTTACTGGTTTACGTAGATGACATAATTTTACTTTCAAAACATCTAGAAAATTTAGAAAATATTAAAAATAAATTATCAAAAAGTTTCAAATTAAAGGAGTTCAAAAATAAAAAACTAATGTTTTTGGGTCTTGAGATTTCTAAAGTCAATAATGAATTGTATATTAGTCAAAAAGGGTTGATTAAAAAGGTATTAAGTAGATTCAATATGGATGATTGCAAAATGTGTGATTTGCCTATGCAAACAAAATTGCAATTACCTGTGGAATCAACAAATGTTAAAAATAATATTCCATATCGTGAACTTATAGGTTGTTTAATGTACCTTATGTTAGGTTCCCGACCTGATTTAAGTTTTTGTGTGACATATTTTAGTCAGTTTCAAAATTGTTATTCTAAGGAACATTGGGTTCATTTAAAGAATGTTTTAAAATATATCAAACAAACAAAAAATTTTGGCTTAAAATTTATCAAAAGTAATGATTCCGAACTTAAACTAGTTAGTTATGTAGATGCAGATTTTGCAAATAGTATAGTTGACAGAAAAAGCATTACTGGTTTTGTGATTAAATTGAATAATAATCTCATTAATTGGAAAACAAAGAAACAAAATATAGTAACTCTATCAAGTGCAGAGTCAGAATATGTTGCTCTTTCAACTTGTATTACTGAAAATATTTTCTTAGCTCAAGTTTTAACAGAAATAACAAATTTTAATGTTTATCCAATAAATATTTTTGAAGATAACCAAAGTTGTATAAAGATAGCTTCAACTTTAGAGGCGAAGCGTAGTAAACATATTGATGTAAAACATCATTTTGTTCGAGATTGTATAGCTCAAAATGTTGTTAAGTTAACTTATGTTCAAACTGATAAACAATTAGCTGACATGTTTACAAAGCAACTTGCAGGAGTTAAGTTTAAGTATTTTAGAGATTTATTGAATGTATGTTTAATTTAAATTTTACAGACTTGCAGAATTGAAGGCGGATGTTGAATGTAACAATCTGCACTAGTTGTATGTAGTATGATAGTTAATATTAGTAGGCAATGTAAAACAATGACAATGTTGTAGTCAATAAATAATTAGAAGTTGAACTGACAGAATTATTTAAACGAATGTGTTTTAATTAATTATATAAAGATATATTGTTTAAACCATTTACTTTATCAATAATAACCCACAATCCACACAACAAGGTCTGTTCTATCTCGTACTAAAAATACAAAAAATCACTGCACAGTTTAACGGTGGCCATTTTTGTTGTTTACAATTTTTGTGCTTTGGGTTTGTGCTCTGTTTATACAGATTAATAATCGTTTTAAACGTTGTGTTTCTCATAGTAAGCCTTAAAAGAGGCCTTAAAGAACAACCATTTTACTCCTCTATTGTAAAAAATAAACTTTATTCTATCAGGGCTGTCATAAAACTGTCAAATGTCAATTTTAAGGTTAAATTATAACCCACAAATTAACCTTCAAATTGTCATTTGACAGCCCTGATAGAATAAGGTATATTTATTATAAAAGAGGAGTAAAATGGTTGTCCTTAGCACTTAAAGGCTTTATTTGAGGCTTACAAGTGCCTATGTAAGAAATCCAACGTTAAAAACAATTATTAAACAGCACAAACCCAAAGCACAAGAATTGTAAACAACAAAAATGGCCGCCGTTAAACTCTGTGCAGTGTTGCAGTGATTTTTAGTATTTTTAGCATGAGATAGAACAGACCTTGTTTTGTGGATCATGTAATAACCTTAATTTAAATAAACTGTAACAAACAAAACTCAACAAAAACATTAGTAAAAAACTGGAGAACACAAAATAATTCTAACAAAAGTATAATAAACTAAAAAATCATAAATAAACTAATTGTTTAACAATAATCAAATAACATTAATTTTTAGCTTTATAAATTAAATGCTCAAAATTACTCCCATTATTTTGTTTTAAAATGTTTGTCGTGAAATAGCTCGTCATTTTTAAACTATTCGTTGTTGCAGATCTTTAGAATGAGGCTGATTTTTTTTACCACAAATTTAAGTGACCTTATAAGAAAACGTGAATGGTGTAAGATCTGGAGATCTCAAAGGCTATTCTATGGGTCCTCTTCTATCAATCCACTGTTCTGGATAATTATACATAATGTAATACATTTTCATCCAAAGCTAGTTCATCATCCTCCCCTCTTTAATTTCCTAGTTTTTTTATTATTAGTATTATTGTTTCATCTAAAATTTCAAAATAAATTTGACCATTCAAATTTTGGTCAATAAATAAGGGACCAATAAAACATCTCCCAAAATGCCTGCCCAGACATTAAGTTTTTCAGGATACTGATAATTTTCTCTGTTGAGATGAGGATTTTCATTGCTCTAATAAGAACAATTTTGTTTGTTAGATAAAAAGTACACTTACTGCTACAGCAAATGTTCTTTAAATTTGGATCTGGTTTAATATTTTATTCGTCAAGATTTCACAAAATTCTAAATGCCTGTCTTCATCATCATCGCCAAGTTATTGTGTATATTGTGTATATTTTGAATGGGTGAAATTTGTGATGTTTCAACACCTTTCTAACAGACTCAGGTCTGTTAATCTAGATGCCAAACGGAATGATATTGTGGGATCTACACCAAACTGGCCAAGAACCCTAATATGCGTGGCTACCTTGAGTACTTATCATAGGTTGGTTTCTTTTTCGACTGCAAACATATCCCGTTTGTTCAAATTTTGTAACAGGCTCTTGAACATATTTATGATGCACATTTTGCCAGGGTAGTTCGTAGAGCACAACGATTTTATTCACCATAAATACAAGTAATTTCAACACGTTCAGCCGTTGTGTAAACCATTTTGAAAAACACTATTTAAAATATTAAAACTAATCAGCATGTATAGCAAACTTTTTTGTAAGTTTTTATAAGTCTGATACAAAAAATCCACCAAAAACAAACACATTTCATTAAGGATTTAAATTATTCAATAATGCCAACATATTTCGAGACAAAAAATTCAAAATAATAAAAGACTATTTCAAAATGGACTCTTAGGAATTATTTTTTGCATTTAATTTAAAATGCTAAAAATTAGTGTTTTGATTATTGTTGAACAAGTGGTGTGGAAGAACGCTGCCTTTTTTGTAAATAATTGTTTGTTTTTCGCAATAAAGCATTTTTTACTATTATTATTATGAATTTTTAGTTTATTATACTTTTGTTAAAATTATTTTGTGTTCTTCAGTTTTTTTACAACAAAATGATTTAATTTGATATTTATAAGGAGAAATATGAATAAATATATATAAAAACTATTTTGCGTATTTTTCAAAAATAAACTATTAAAAAGAATTTTTTAGTAATAGGAATATGAATTGGAATAGCAATTTCTAATAAGGTATCACAAAGAGGGTGTTGCCAGTTACTTAGTTAATGTCATTTTTGTGGTCATACTGATTTTCCCCACATATCATAGAAACGGTTTTGAGTAATTTTTTATATATATTTTTGGCCAGACTTATAGAGCATTGCTCGTATTTAAATAGACACCCTGTATATATACCTAAAATGATTTGACGTGCTGAATCGGGATTTGTATAATTGCTTGATCAAGGCAGATTTTCGAGAAATGTTAACCCTAAATCTCATTACACTATCTGACAGTATGTAGGTACCTATACCTAGCTAGGTATTATAGAACCTACTCTTCCTGTTATACTCTTCCTGTTTAAAATCCTTTTCAATATTTCTCTTTTCTCCCCTTCCAAAAATTGTTAGTTAATATTTATGAGTTTAGACTATATATTAGTACCTAATATGCTACACCATCTTAATTATAAATTTTAACTAACGATTTCTCGTAGAAAACATAATTGGAAAAAAGGCGTTTTGGGTTAAAATTTCTAAAAATGGAGCAGTTCTGATGTAATTTAAAAACGTATAGTCTGGTACATGATACAAGGAAACCTGGTAGTCTGATTTTAATTTATTTGTTCACTCTGTAATTATTATAATTCTTCTTCTGTTATGGTTAATTTTTTCCATTTTTTTATTATTGTTAACATAGATAATATTTTATTGGAGAAAATTTTAAAAAGCGATAGCCTATATGCAAATTATAATTTTTTAATAAATAGCTTGATCAAAAACTTTTCAGGCGACGGATTTTTGGCTAATAACTGGAAAATAAGTTTGTTCAGACTTTTCCAAAGAAACAATAGAATAGAAATACGAATCATATTTGGTAAAATTCTAAAATGTGTTGCTTATTTTCAGGAAAAGTTACTTAAATTAATCATTAAAATAAAATGTAATATTAATAATTATTAATACGTATAATAATTCATCAAACAAAAGGATTTCATTTTAAACAATACTTAATTATAAGAAACTTACCTTTGGAGTCCTTTAACACCAACACAGATCCTAAAAAAGGTATTGCCTTTGGTCCAGGTATTGTTAATGCAAAAAAAACTGTTCTTATATAATCCTTTAGATAAATAGTTAGTAAAATCACTAACACTATTAAAATTAACAAGGAAACCTCGATTCTCTCCATGATTTCTAAAACAGTAAACATTTGTATTTCTAATATTATTGATTGCTTAAATTTGCGTAAAAAATTGTTTATGCAGTATAATTGTTAATAAAAATTATTATACATATCAATCACAAAAACATTCTGATCAATATCCAGGGGTACAACTACGTCACACAAGGTTTACTATTTTTTTAATTATAGATAATTTATATCTGAACCCTTCATTAAGCACTTTTTAATAATTGGAAGGCATTACCGGGCAATTATATTAGTAAAAAAGTAAATCAATTACCCAACTTCACTGAAAGAAAAAGAAAGGTTAAAACAACAAATAAAAGTCTATGATTTGGCGTCATACAGTAAAAATTGTTATTTTAACAAAAACAAATTGTTCACTATTACTAATAATGTTTAAATCTACTATTACAAAAGTAAGTTTACTATATATATAAATAACATGTTTTAATGTACATATACTCAATTAAATTGTAAAAAAATATTTTACTTTGTTCATTTAACAAAAACAAATATTAAAAGTATCATTTTAAATTGTACAAAAACTATTTTTTTTGTTCAGGTATCAAAAAAATATTAAAAATACTATTTTGAATGTACATATACCAAATTAAATTGTACAAAAACATTTTTTTTTCGTTCATGTATCAAAAAAATATTAAAAATATCACTTTTAATTGTAACTTTTTAGTACAAATTGTTTAAAAACTATTTTTGGTGTAAAATTATTATTTATCGTTAAGTTTCTTATCATAAATATCTATAGATATGTTATAACATATAAATTAGGTAATAAATTAATTTATAAAATATGAAATTAAAAAAATATATACATACCTATTATACATTTTTTTTTAATTTTATATTTTATAAAATAATATATTAATTTAGGTATGTTAGGTATTTATAATAAAAAAATCTTAACTATAAAAAATAGTAAAACTTCAAAAAAGAGTTTTTAAACAATTTTGTATACAATGAACAGTAATATAAAAATAATAATAATAATTTTTAATAAAAGACAAAAGTATTTCAAATTTAGCTTTATTTAGTTCCAAAAATAGGTATTTATAAAAATAAATATTCACATGGAGTTTTATATAAAACTATTAAATAAAAAATATTAATCCTATGTTATTTAAAAAAAAATACATTTCTTTACGTAGGGTATGCTTAATAGCTTTGTTTCCTAATTTTTAATTGCAGTCAGATTCTTAAAAACAGTTAAAACGATTTGAAAACTGGTTTGGTGCTTACTTCTGATTTTTGTGGAAACAAATCTAAAATACTTACAACAAAGAAAAATAATGCAAAAATACTGTTTTATGTTATAAATAATTAACAAATAAACTTAACCTAAATAATAATTTATAAATATTAGCTACTTTCGCACAGAAATAGGTACTAAATGCATTCGGGATTTTTTGTCTATTGTGATTGGTGCCTTTGAGGAATACTTTGCTACATTTAGCCTCTGTAGTCCTCTTTTGGGGTAGTCCAAAATTATGGGGTGAAAATGTCACATAATGCATAACCCCATTTCAAATTGCAAGGTGATATGTCAAAAAACAGCCCTACTGCCGGTAGTCTGGGATTGGCCAAAAGCAAAAAAAAAATACTTTATATAATCAAAAATATACACCAATGTAAAGAAAAAACCTTAATTTCTAAGATTTCGAAAGAGAAAAATAAAAAAACATTATATTAAAAAAAGATACAACTCTTTAAAGTGAAGTCATACGAAAAAAATCTCAGATTTGAATGGAATAAAACAAAATATAATGCACACAAATTTTTGGTCTTTTTCACAGCAAAGCCTATTTATTCCTTAATAAAACAAACAAAAAACAAGGCTTTACGTTTATTAATAAGGGCAAAATATTTTTTAAGTTAAAACAAAATAAAATGAACATTAATTATTTTTATCTATACCAATATAAAGCCTATTTATTTCTGAATAAAATGAAAAAACAAGGTTCTAATTATCACAAATTAGTTTTGACCAGACCGTCGACTGCCGTCCCAAGAATAAACGCTGTATAGGTTAAAGAATAAAAACAATAAAAATTTATTATTCTCCTATAACATAATATTACAAGATCGTTCATGTAAACGGTATACATAGGGAAAATACATGTCGGTGTCGAGTCGAGACTCGTACAAATATTTTCTGTAAACATTTTCGCTTCGTAATGACTGCGTCTTATCTGGTCCACTTTAACAATGTATTTTCCTATGTATAGCTTTCTCATGAAGAATTGGTATATACTTCTTAGTGTTAGCGATTCATTATATCATTACCCTACCTCAAAGTTTGAGGCTCAAACGGCATTTTTAATACCTAATAAACACGTGCTATTGTAAAGACATACCAGTTATAATTATTTTGTCTTTGTATAAAATATTTTTATTTATTGTCTATATGTCTATAAACCTTAATGTGCAGGATGCTTACCTTATAAAAATCGAATTAAACTTATTTCGCCACTTTTACAAAATACAAATGTCTAACACAAGATTAGCTTCCGAACTTCGCCAACCGAAGACTACCACACAACTTGTGTGACACAAGTGATCAATTTGGCGCGTGCGACGCAATAGCGTATATGGTGGGGGTATGCATTTTTGTAGAATCAACCCATTTAAATATTAAAAATAACAAGTTAAATAAGGTAAAATCATAATATTATGATTGTTTTAAATATTAAATTTGCATAGATACAATTTAAAAAGTAATTTGTCTAGAAAATTGGTTAAATTAAGAACAATTTTTTGTTATTCTACCAGGTATTGACAATTTTAGCCGGTAAAATTTACATCATTTTAAATTGTTAAAGTTACCGTTAATAATGTTTAAAACATGCAATAAAAATATTTAATTTAACAATTGCTTGGTAAAAATAACAAAAATAATATTTGCATTGCAATATTCGTTTGTAAGCTTACTTATCATAGGTAGGATAAATTAACATTTCCACTTAAAATTTTAAGTTAACTTGCTTAAAGTGTTATATTGACACAAAAAAAATCATTCATTCTATTTTACTGGTTAAATTAACTTAAAAATATGTTATTTTAAATATTTTGTATTAACAATTCAGAAAAGGTTGAATTGACAAAAATTATTAACAAAAAAACTGGTAAAATTAACAAAAATACCCAAATTGTTTTGCTACTAATTTTTTATTGTTGTTTTAACCTTCTCCGTTTTTTCAGTGTTGTAAAAATAAATGTTTACAAACCAGTTAAAAACTTTTAATTAAGGCATCATTATTGTCAACAATCACTATTTGGTTATCTCCTGGCTGTAAAAATAATTTAGACGAATCAAGCCAAACCCATAGGTTATAAATATATAAATCGACGGAATCGCATTGCGTTACATGCAAGTAACGCAAATGAGCGCTGCTTGTGTGCAATTTAGTAGGCAAGTTCTGTCAATTTCCCATATAGGTATGTATAGGTACCTGTAGGTACTCCTTGTGCAGGCTCCATGCGAGATGAAGCAAGTACCCGCTCTTAAGTTCGGAATGTCTGTGGGACTCATCGGCGATGCTTACCGCGGGGGATTGCCGAAGGATAAAGATCGAACGGTGTAGAACATTCTGGAAGGATCGGAAGGAGGCTTGCGGGCAGCCGCTCAAGTACGCCCTGGATATACCTATATATACCCGGTCAACATTTAACGTAACAAAGTATTGCCGTTCAAGGATTTTGTGTAAAATCCTTGATTGCCGTTATGTAACATAGGAGTCACATTGCAATGTAACGATGTTACTAAAATGCAACGCAACAGTTACCTAAAATAATGGTAACATTGTTACCGTTCCAAGTTAACCAATAGGCAATATAACAATAACGTAACATTGCGATACTATTGTAATGTAACAACAATGTAACATTGTGAAACTATTGTAATATAACAAAATTACCAATAAGCAATATAACATTAACGTAACATTGTGAAACTATTGTAATGTAACAAAATTACCAATAAGCAATGTAACAACAATGTAACATTGTGAAACTATTGAAATATAACAAAATTACCAATAAGCAATATAACAATATCGTAACATTCTGAAACTATTGTAATGTAACAAAATTACCAATAAGTAATACCTAATAGCAACATAACATTGTGAAACTATTGTAATATAACAAAATTACCAAGAAGCAATATAACAATAACGTAACATTGTGAAACAATTGTAATGTAACAAAATTACCAATACCTAATCAATATAACAGCAACGTAACATTGTAAAACTATTGTAATGTAACAAAATTACCAATAACCCAGTGAACCAAACCGTGACTTATGACCTAAAATTTACGTAACACGTAGATCATATGTAGGTAATACAATTCTTAAGTCATAGTGACATAATACTGATCCAAAACGTGACTTTCATATGATGTAATTAAATGACTTACATATTACGTACATCTTATGTAATATTAAAGTCATATCTTGGCGTAACATTAAAGTCACTTTTCTTAAGTAAGACTGACATAAGAAATCTGTCATAATATTACATACGTTTTACCTCACTTTCTTACGTAAGAAATCTGTAATCTTATTTTATAAGTTTAAGGTTACTTTTTTAGGTAAGACTGACATATAAAATTTGTTATACATATTATTTAGACAAACTAGATGCAAAAGTAATTTCAAAGTATGAAATTCACTGTATTTTAATGTTTAAATTAAACTAATTTCAATGAATGGACTTTTATTTTCAATGAATGAAATAGGCAAACAATTTTTATTTTTTATTCATTGAAATGGTTAATTACAATTGTGATTAATCATTGAGTAAAATAACGTAAGTAAATTGACGCCGATTATTTTAAACAATAAAATCAGTGGATACTTTTCCTTACCAATCAGTTTAATTTAAACATTAAAATACAGCAAGTTTCATACTTTGAAATTACTTTTGCATCTAGCTTGATGAAAGAAATAACGCGAAGTTCCTTGAATTTTTTGGCTACTTAGTACTTGGTCGATTAAATGAAAATATGGTTTAAAATTAATCAAAAAATAATGTATCTTAATTTAATATGTAATAAACATCATATAGATTTTTATGA